TTTTGAACTTTAATACTTCTTCAGCAAGTAGGAGCAACATGCCTAATTTTCAACTTCAACTTAATGGATTAGTAGCTCAAGTTATGCAAAACCTAAAAGTTGAAGAATTCATTTTAATTATCCAATGGAAAGCTATTGATTATGGTAGCAGGACCCACAATTTATGAATAGTTTGGAATTGTTTAAGGAGATGTTGTGAGGCCGCATACTAGATATTGCATAAAATGGAGCAGTAAACAGGGTGATGAAACTCGAAATTATTCAAAAAAAAAACAAAGAATGATTCAATGCCCAATGCTCTCTCAGATGTCAAATCAACAAGTCATTCAGTTCAACATTGACCATAAAGCAATCTAATCTTCTGTTCGACGAGAAAAAAATATTTCAATGCCAAATGCTCTCTCAGAAGTCCAATCAACAAGAAACATCCTATGCACACTGATGATAAAGCAATTCAATTCTGCTGTTCGATGAGATAAGGTGTAAACCTGACTAAAGAAGGGAAATGATAAAGAGGAAAAGCATGGAATGCGAAAGGACTCTATTTTCTTTCTTTTCTTTACTTTGATCAGAATGTTGCAAGGAAAGGAAAATATGTGCTATTCCCTTCTCTCAGAGACTCAGTTTAAATAAGTGGCCCCAAGGGGAAATTAGTCATCTTTTTTGCTTTATTTCCTCTTCTTTTAACAAATCAAACCAGAGTAGAGAACTTTAAAACTTTCCCTTCCTTTCTCTACTTCAAGATATAGGATAATTCGGCACATATAGCCACTTAACAGCATGCAAGATTCTCTTAGGATATTATCTCAATAGATAGAAGCAGACAAAGAGACAAAAGAGAGCAGGTAATACTCTAGAAATCCTAAGAACCAACTGTAGCAACAAGTACAGAAAACTGCATTGTTAAAAAACAGACTTGAATCACCTAGACATTTTTAAAGAATCCAGACCTGCTTGATTTGACCGCTGATCCTGTGTCATTCAATTTCCGTTCTGCTGCCATAACTGCAGCCATCGTTTTGTCTGACACTTGAAGCCTTTGATCAACAGATTTAACTTTCTCATTTACAACAGAAATTCCAACCGTAAGCTTTTCTGTTAGCCCAACTCTTCGGTCAAAGGAAATGACTCGGGCAGATGCAGTGGCTCTTAGCTGATGTTTCTCATCAAATGCCTTGGCTTTATTCATTGCATCTTGTCTGATAGCTGAACCTTTTGCCAACACATTTGAGACAACATCTTGGGCTTTACTGATATATACTTTCCCGTTCACCCTTCCATTGCTAGGAGAAGTAGGTTTGGCCTGCTAATGGAGACAAGTGATCAAGAGATTATACAAGTAATGCAGATCACTATAAAGCCGAAAAGAGCCTACAATAAGTACACAGTCGAAACAAATATATGCCTGCAAAGTGCAGATCATAATACATGAATCCTACACCACAATATACTTGCAATGGCTCTTCCATATCTAGAAGCTCTCTATAGACACAACAATTTTTATGTTCTTGTGGATAAAAGATACCCAACTTTTTTATCCTTCGGGGTGGCCCGGTGGTTTGGGCTTGGGACTTCCATGTTGGAGGTCTCAAGTTCAAACCCCTTGCCAGCGAAAGCAAGGGTTTGCCTTCTGGGTAAAGCTCGTCGCACCTCTCCTGTGTGGTTTGCGAGCTATTGCATAGGAGAGGGGTTTTTACCCCCTGCGCACCCAAAGGGTAGCGGCTGCAGGTTGCCCTTGTCATAAAAAATAAATTTTAAAAAAAAAGATGCCCAACTTTTTAATAACTTTAAGGAAGAATTATCCACCAACTTTATTTTCTCCCTCCGTCCGTCCCAATTTATGTGACACTTTTCGTTTTTCGAGAGTCCAGCAGTTTAAGTTTGATCGAAAATTTGCACATGAAATCTTCATTTTTTTTAAAATGAAATTTCTATATTTGTAAACTACATAAAAAGTATTATAAGTCACAATAATTGATAATTCAAAATGTTTAAAAGATCTATGAAAACTTACGGTCAAAGATAGACTTGTTTGAATCTCAAAATCCGAAAAGTGACACATAAAATGAGATAGAGGGATTACTATATTACCTCAGCAAGCGGAGAAGAACTTTCTCCAGCAACATTCACGGCATTATCAACTAACCTGACTTCCTGGAAGCAATGAGTAGACTACATGAATTGTCAATATAGATATTCCTAAATTGTTATACTTTAATAACCGATATTTGCAATTATATGAATAGAGATAACACTTCCACACTTGTCTATGTAGTTACCCGAGTCTCAGATGATGGAACATAGTCTTCTTCCTGCATAATATTTACAATCTGATCCACTATGGTTGCTCCCTGCAAAATGAGTAGAATCAGAAGGGTACTTCTCACAAGCAAACAATTCAACAAAGCAGTAGCAGTGAATATACACAAAACCAATTTCCATGTGCTTATTATTCTTCAAACAACAATGGCATATCAATATTTTGATGTCCTATAGTAATTTGAAATTAGGAGCATCATTCCTTCATTCTCTATATTGAATAACTCAATCAATAGGAACATTGTCAAGTATGCATCATCAGTCACTGGCCAAAAGCTAAAAGCAGATTAGGGGAGGATGTAGCATATATATACACTCATTATATTTCATCAAGATTTAAGTTATAACAAAGATTTATAATATCATCAGGTTATTTAAAACCCAAAAAGATACATGTAATAGTTGGAAAATTTGTTAACTCTTCAATTACCAAAAGAGGTGCTGAAAAATACATGCTGTATAGTTGAGCCTATATTTCATGTTTAACGGTAAAATCTACCTTTACTTTTTTCTCCATCAGACAAATGATTAGCTAAAGAAAACAGAATCTTAAATTTCTTTCCTAGTTCCTACACCTCCTTAAATTTCTGTGAGTTTATTCCACTCCTATAAACTGTCTTCCTGTGATGCTGCTAAATAATTTACTCCACCAACAAAAGAAGGATTTAATACTTTAGTTTCAACTAAAATTGCATTCCCTTGTAGTTTAACAGGTTATAGCATGTTTGTTCATCCTTTCCCCGAGTTACAAACAATTGTAATTATAAAGAGTTACATATAGCTGATTGTGTAATTCTAGACCACAGTGCATAGGATGTAGGAATAGCTTGGATGATAAAAGCATACACGGTTATGCAAATATAGACTAGAAATTAGAATTACTGTGAAAAAAAAAAGAAAGGAAAATTACCGACAACAACAAAGCAATTTCAAGCGCTTTCGGATCTTTAAATGTAACAAAGGCAGTCTTGGATTGTCCTTGTTCTCTGCACTCAACACCAAAACCAGTGAAATAATTAAGCTCGAATATATATTATCTAAAACTCAAATACCATCACAGAAAAGGTGAAGCTACTGACCGGCGAATCTCAATATGCTCAATCTCGCCGGAAAACGAGAAGAACTCGCGAACCTCTCTCTCAGCTGCCAGATCTGATACATTACCTACTCGTACTGTTCTTACCTCCTGAAAGTACATACAGAAGAAAGATTCAATTCATCACTGAGAGAAGAGAAAGAGATAAAAGAAGATAAAAATTGAAAAAAAAATGGAGAACTCACCTGCATTATTGAGTTTAAAATCTATATCTCTCAGCTTTGTTTTGCTGAGCCTGAGTGGAAGAGGAGAAGATATAAATGTGACAGCTGAGAATGTAACTGTTGTAGTTGTATAATGAAAATGGCCTTGCTTTTTCCCTCAAATATCGGCTTTGACATTCATCACTGTCGCTTTGCTAATTATTGAAGATTCCGCCTGCGGTCAGCTCAATGTGGACTGTATTAGGCATATATGTACGTCTTTTTAATCAAATTACAATTGACTCCCTATCTTTTGCGTTTCTCCCTCTTTTAATCCAAAATGTGGTTCTTTCTTCTTCTTCTTTTTATTTATTTAATTAACTAATAATTAATTTAAATTTTAAAGAGATAAAAGACAAGTTTGCTATCCTAGTAATCGACCAAGTAATTCACATACATGCATTTCAGCCCTAGTGTAGTTATCCACTGACATTGAAGGAGAAGAATGTCAAGGTACTTTCACAGTAAAGATTGCCGCCTAGTCCAATCCAAAAGCAAACAAGGGACGCTTCATTAAGCAAGAATCCGAGCTAAGAGCGAGACAGTTCAATTAAGGTATATATATAGAGAAAGCTCCAAGAGAATATTTAATCATGTCAAAACATATTTATATTAATATATATATAATATAAAAGATAAGACAGAGGGGGTATATGTTTAATGGTAAAAGCTGGCCCAAATCTTGTTTAAATTCTTTTCTTGTTTTTGTCAATGTTCCTTTATTAGTTCCCCCTTCTCTCCTTCTTTCTTTTCCCCTGCCATGAGACTTGCCACTTTTTTCTTTCATACTACACAAAAATACATTGCAAGCAACTTGAATAGTTTAATTAACATGTATGACATCCATTTCTAATTAATTTTCTTTTAAGTCAATGTTTCAACGTGTTCTTTGACTTAGCTTGAACTAACATCTATGTCATCTAATTTTGATTGTGCATAAGTCGACACTTAAGCTTGTATAAAATTAAATAAATAGACACATTCATCCTATCGGCATCCTACATGATAATTTTGTATCCTAAGTGGCGTCCTATGTGTATTATATTGTGTCGTGTAGGACACATGTATCTATTTATTCAATTTTAAACAAGCTAAAGTGTCTACTTGTGCACATCCAAAATTGAAGGGCGTACAAGTCAAGTTATGTATTATGCGTAAATAAAATGATGTTTTACTCTTTGTAATTAATTATTTTTGAGTGTGTTTTTTTTTTCAAATGTTAAAATCTTTTAACAAATAAAGTTGTGTAATAAACAGAAAGCAACTCATTGGTATCAAAGAGAAATAGAGCAGGAATAGTAACAAGGATGGAAATATTGGAATATGTTATGGACCTCTTTATTTCCATTGTATCATGCATACTCTTAATTATAATAATGTTATATAAATAGAAGTAATTTTAATTATATTAGTCTTTAACAATTGTAGACCTATAAATGTAGTAAGCGAATCCGGAGAAAGCAGAAACTACAACCACGATAGCTGCAACACCCAAGGCCACCTTTTTGAATTTCTTGAATCTTGATTCATTTGATACTTCATTTAAGCTTTCATTAGTACTCTTCTTTGGCAGTGTAATTTTGAGAACACCCTTCTCAAATTTGGCCTTTATCGCATCTACGTTATGATCCTTTCGTAATTGAATCTCTTTGAGAAAATTTAATCTGGTTTGATTTGCTTGACCATCTCCTGAAATCTTTACAACTCCACAATTGCTAACTTGTACCTTCAATCCTTCTTTATCCTTGAATTCTTGAATGCAAAGAAAAATAAATAAATTGAGGGATATATATTGCAATAATATTTTCAAGAGTTCTAACTAATTGTACTGTATTATTTACCTGGGAGATGGACCAAGAGAAGATCAACTCCTTCTTGATGTTGCCACTCATAAGATGGCTCAAAATGACCTTCTACTGATCCATCTAATTTGTTTTCCATCATGTAAGTGTATTTCTTCTGAATTAGTATAGTAATTTATATCTTTATATGCTTCTAGTCAACCAATGTCATGGTTTTAAGTTGTGCTACTCTCAAATTCTCTTCTTATATATAGGGCAAACATGATTGTTCTTTATAAAAAAAAAACATGACAAGGGAATGATTCCTTTTTTGGTTTTGATGGTTTTCCATTTGAGTTTCTTTAATTTGTGGTTTTCCTAGATTCTTGTTTTGAGCACATGATGATTTCCTTTTTGCAAGGCAATGAAAAATTCCATAGTCACTTCTTTCGTCCTCTAAGAGGGATTTTATTGGCAATTTCCTATATTCAAAAATTTAAGAGAGATGATGAAATATGTGAATATGCTCGTATCAATCAAACTTTTAAGTGTCGTAAATTAACTTTAGGAGGTATATATTGAGTAGTATTATAGACAACTTTGCAAGTGAAGTGATAGATAATTATTTCAAATGTCTCACTCAATTTTTCGTAAAAAGTATAACCGATCAAATAAAAAATAATTTATCTTTGCATAGATAAAGATTAAGCTACTTCTTTGCAAATTGAAGGTATATGAGCTTTAATTTTGGGTGTTAATTTTTTTTAACAACTTTTTCTTTAATATAAACTTAATATTTTAATGAAAAAAACTCTCCAAAATCTTAGCAAGACACCAAAATAGAAAGGGTGTTTTGGTTAAATCCCGTCTGTACGGTAACAAGTGACTTCTCCCTTTCCCCTGTTTCTACAATGCCGCCGAAAGCTTCCTCCGCGCCGCGGTGGGGCCGCACTAGATCGACCGCCAGAAAATCTGCTCTCGAAGCAATCGAATCCACCGGCCCGAAATCTTTTCCGCCTCCATCCACTTCCACCGCCGTGATCGATTCCCCATCGCCTCAAAAAGATAATCAATCGTCTCCCTCGATGACCTACTCTACAATTTCTAAAATCAGTGAGCATCCGGAGCAATCCCTGAGCTCCCAAGTTCCAGAAATAAACACTGGGGAAACCGGAGTTGAGTTGAATGAAGCTGACCAAGTCACGCCGCCAAAAACAGTGGAAATTGAAGCTGTTGGGGAGCAGAAAGTAGGGCAGAGTGGTAAGAAAAAAGTGGTGAAAAAGACAGTAAAGATTGTCAAGAAGATTGTCAAGAGGAAAGTGCCCAAATCTGTTGCAAAGAACAGTGAAATGACAGACGAATCAGAAAAAGGCTACGCAGAAACTGTTTTGGATTCATTCGAGGTTGAAAAAACTAGCTCTCGAGGCACAATTGAACCAGAAACTGTATATTTAGAGTCTAGTAGTGCTGCTACAGTTGGTGAGGGTCGTAACTCGGAGAAGGGCAATTTTCAGCCAATAGAAGTTGAGGAAGGTATTATTGCTGTTGAGGTTATGTTAGGAAAGGATGGAATGAAGGACTGTGAGGTTACTGTAGCTAAAGGTAAGTTAGAGCTTCCAATTTTGGAATGTAATGATGCAAAGGACAATCTAGGTTCCCTTGAGACAGGAAATGTAGTTGTTGATTCAGAAAAAGGTAATCTCCGTTCAGTAAAGATTGTCAAGAAGATTGTAAAGAAGAAAGTGCCCAAATCCGTTGCAAAGAACAGTAGAAAGACTGAGGAATCAGAAAAAGGCAGAGAAAATGCTAACACAGAAACTGTTTTGGATTCATTAGATGTTGAAAAAGCTAACTCTCAAGGCACAATTGAACTAGAAACTGTATATTTAGAGCCTAGTAGTGCTGCTACAGTTGGTGAGGGTGGTGACTTTGAGAAGGGCACATTTCATCCAGTAGAAGTTGGGAAATGTACTATTGCTGCTGAGGGTATCTTAGGAAAGGATAGAATGAGGGACTCTGAGGTTAGTGTAAATGAAGGTAAATTAGAGCTTCCCATTTCAGAAAGTAAAGATGCCAAGGACAATATAGGTTCCCTTGAGACAGGAAACATAGTTCTTGATTCAGAAAAAAGTAATCTTCGTTCAGTAAAGATTGTCAAGAAGATAGTGAAGAAGAAAGTGCCCAAACTTGTTGCCAGGAAAAGTGGAAAAAAGGAAGAATTGGTGAAAGGTAGCAACAATGGGGACGCAGAAACTATTTTGGATTCAGCAGGTGTTGAAAAATCTAAACCTAGTCCTCCAGAAACTGAAAACCTAGAATCTTGTAAGGATGTCTCAGCTGAAAATGAGGAGTCAAAGAAATACAGTTTACATCCGATGGAAGTTGAGAAGGCTAAGAGTGTTAGTGAGTTTGGTGCAACTGAAAATACATTAGAGCCTTGCATGTTGGATTGCAAAGATAGTGTTGTTGAGAATGATAATATGGATTCTCTTGAAACACAAATTGTAGTTCTTGATTCAGAAAAAGGTAGTCTTAATGTTTCTAGTAGTGATAATGTGGATTCGAGTAAGGATCAAAATTTGGTTCAGTTGGGAGAGGAAGGGTATAGTCAAGGCAGAGAGGAAACAAAGGAAGCTGTGGATACTAGTCTGAGGTTGAATGAAGGAATTCTATTGAGTGGGGAAATGGAGGCATTAGAACGGAAAAAGAGGCGGAGGACAGAGATTTTCATTGGGGGATTAGACAAGGAGTCAAATGAGGAGGATATCAGAAGTATCTTTGGTGAGGTTGGTGAGGTCGTGGATGTAAGATTGTTGATAAATCGTGAAACAGGAAAGAAAAAGGGGTTTGCTTTCCTCCGGTATGCTTCTGCTGCTGATGCAAAGAAGGCTGTAGAAAGATATTCCAAAGTTGAGGTAATGTCATTTGGAATTGCTACCTGTAGTCTTCTAAGTAGAACAAACGTTTGTTTAAGTAGTGCAGTTAGTTGGTTGGCTGTTTGTCTACATGTACAGCTAATAAATCAAGTATGTGGCGAGATTCATATTGATTTTTCGACAGACTATCAATTTACTGGATCCTATAGAACATTTTAAGTTTTAATTGAACTTATCTGTGCTTATCAAAAAAATTTGCTGGAAGCTTATGTAACAAATTTGCATACTCTAATATAGGTTAGAAATAGGTCTATGATTTTGGAAAGTAGGTTGTTTGAACTCATTTTTGGATACCTAGCTTTAAATGGATATGGCTGCAAATACTCTCTTTTCTTCTTTGTCGATAAGAGGTATGGACATTTCTTACTATTTGCTTAATATAACCGTACAAGTAATAAACACTATGCTTTGAGGAATAATCATGCTGTTGGGGGTGTATTCTTCATTTAATTTTCATATTACACCCAAAATTTAAGACAGAGAGAATAATATATTTTAGCTAAGTTTACTGGTGAGTCCTGCTGGATAGATAATTGCAATTTCTGCACTAAGCTGTTGTATGCGATGGACTAATGCATTTATTTGATTTTGAAACCTAGATATCTGGGAAGCAATGTCGTGTATCCCTTGTTGAGGGTAATGACACAATATACCTGGGTAATATTGACAAGAAATGGAAGACTGAAGATGTAAGCTTTACTGTTTGCTGCTGATTATTGTAATTCCTCTGGGTTAAATGACTTCTGAAGAGTTTATTTCTGGACAGGTGATTGATCTACTGAAGAAGGCTGGAATTGAAAATATTGATAAGGTCACAGTTATGGCTAATCCTAACAACATCGAGCAGAATCGAGGGTTTGCATTTGTTGAACTTGAAACAAGTAAAGAAGCTCAGATTGCTTTCAGTAAACTCCAAAAGAAGGATGCTTTTGGGAAACACATGAAGGTAAAAGTTGCATGGGCACAGCCTTTAATTGAGCCAAATGAAGAAGAAATGCTAAAGGTCAGTTGTGATGAAAGGTTTTGGAATTAATATATTGATGCTTATTGAGTTGTTTACCTGAAGTAAATGCTAAGCGATGCATGAGAAAAGAAGCCTCAATACTCTATTTTGTTTCTTCTTCTTTCCCTAGTCTTTCTGACTAACAATCTTCATCTATAATACAACTTTTATTTGATTAAAATACTTAATTGCTTCACCTTTGTCAAGGTTAAATCAGTTTATGCTGAATATTTACCTTCCTCATGGATTGAAGAAAAAGTGCGAGACTACTTCGGCAAATTTGGTGAAATTGAGAGTGTTGTTCTTGCAAAAGATCTTCCTTCCTCAAGGAGAAAAGATTTTGCCTTCGTCAATTATGTAAGCCGTGAGTCTGCTCTTGCGTGCATTGAGGCATTCAGTCATGAACCAGCTAATGACAGTGGATCCAAGGTTTCACATTGTTTCTGTAATTTACCATTAAGTTATTGCAAAAATTGCTGTGCTTATGATTATCTTCAATGTTGATTATATTTTAGGTAAGCATTAAGGTATCTCTTGCTAAACCCATGCCGAAGAGTAAGCAAACTAAACGTGTAACCCTTCCTTCTAGAAGGGAACCTCGTGAGGAGAAGAAAATACGGGACCAGTGTGAGTTTTTTGAAACCTATATTTGTCAATTTGATGATACTTTGGTATAAAATTGTTTGCTTTGTGGCATAAAACCATGGATGATCCTTATTTTTTTTGTAAAGAAAAGAGAGGAGATTCTTGGGGAATGAATTGCTTGATTATTACTTTTTCTGATCAGGTAAACAATTTCATTTCATAAATGAAAGTCAAAATTGGTCATATACAAGAAGTATACCCAAACGTTTAAAGAACCTACAAAATGATATGGTTCTCAAAGAAAAATCCCCCAATCATCTATTCATCCCGGGACTACATTGGTGCACCAAAAATAAATAAGGAATCAGAGACTACTCCTCAACTGCTCAAAATTCATTTCTACCCTTTCTAAAGCCCTTCTATTTCTCTCTCTCCCAATGATCCTCTTCAGACCCAGATAACAACTTTTCATGGCGTGCTCTTTCTTGCTTGATTATTATGTCAAGTAGGGTATCAAACATGTTTACGAGTTACCAATTAAGTAAAATACATATTTTTCTACTTAGATAATTACTAGCATTCTAAATTGCTACCCTTTGACCTTTAAATTTTCAACCGGCAAAAGTGGATAAGACTCTG